CAAAATCTAGAACACTAGTCTGAGTTTGTTCAGCTACCTTTGCCTGCATTATGGTGAATCCTAGTATGACACAGTCACTCTCTCCGAAAGTTCCTACAACTTCCACTCCCTCAACCACTTCAACCCTATTAGTAAGTACCAAGTCCAGTGTAGCTGACTCTCTAGTTCTCTGCTCCACCTTTTAGATGATAGACTTGTCAGCTAGGCATGTCAGGAACCTGTTCGATCTCCCACTTGCTGTGGAGTTTGTTTCCCAGTTGATGTCAGGGTAATTAAAGTCCCCCATTACCACCGTGGTGTGTTTCCTGGACATCTCAGCAACTGATTTACAAAAAGTTCATCTATTTCCTCTGCTTGGTTAGGTGGCCTGTACTATACACCTATAGCAATGTCATTTCCCCCCCCTTAATATTCACCCAAATACTTTTGAGAAGGGTTTCATCCTTGGTATCATGCATTTCTGTACAGGTGCAGTAATTCTTTACATACAATGCAACTCCACCTCCTCTTTTGTTGGGTCTGTTTCTTTAAAACAAATTATATCCTTCTAGTAGTGTATTCCAATCATGGGTTCCATCCCACCAAGTTTTAGTAATACCGACAATATCATACCTGCCCTCATGTACTAGGACTTCAGGTTCTCCCTGTTTGTTCCCCATACTTTGAGCATTAGTGTATGGGCATCTGAGCCCTTTATGGCTGACCTTGCATTTGGTTTCTGCGTCTCCTGCTTTATACCTGAGTGCCCCTTCCTTCTCACCGCTTCCTTCCTCGTTGTCAAATTTGTTGCCTTGGGGCTCATGCTTTGGTTTGGTCCTAGAAATTGGCCTCCTTCCCCCTCCAGATTTAGTTTAAAGTCCTTCAGACGTCTGGAGCGAAATGCCTTCCAAACACATTCTTCCCATCTCTTGCCAGAAGCCCATCTGGTAGGTGGTGTAGACCGTGGTCCAGAAATCCAAAGTTTTCTTGATGGCACCATGCCTTGAGCCAGCGGTTTACCTCTGAAATCTTCTGTTCCCTCATTGGGTGTTGACCATTCGTTGGAAGTATGGATGAAAACACTACCTGCGCTCCTGTTTTGCCTTCCTGCCTAGCTCCTCATAGTCCCTTGATATTTTTTTCAGGCTCTTTTTTGTT